AAAAAAAAAAAAAACACAAAACAAACCCAACTTTCATCTTCCCCATCACTCCTCGCCCTCCCTCTCTCTCTCTCTATACATTTAAATGCGGGTGAATTGTATGTATAGGTCTGGATTTTCCTCTCTTATTATTATTATTATTATTATTATTTTTTCCTTTTTTTGCTCGTGAAAAAAATCTACAAATGTCGCGGCAGAAAGACGAGGACACGACGAAAGGAGAGAGAGAGAGAGAGAGGGAAGAAAAATGGACTCGTTTAATTAAACTTATTAAAATAATCACGTTTGAACACGACGCGACGACGTCGTTTGCGGTGATTTATAGGCCGGACGGTGTCGTATTAGCTGATGTTAGTTTGCACTTGAATTTATTTCGGCTCACGGTTACAGGTTGTGGATTTCCGCAATTAATAAAGTCTAATTATATGTGAAACCGATTTTTTTTTTCTTCTTTTTCATTTTTTTTTTGCTTGTATTTTAATCTTTGTGTTTTATTTATATCACAAATTATTTTAATTCATCGTAGTCAGTATCGGAGATAAATTCAATCGTTGTACTTTCTCAGCAAATATATGCATATTTTTTTCACTAAAATGTGATACTCTAATTATGATTTTTTGACAATATAAATATATAATCTTATTTAAAAAAAATTATGATGAATCGTCCAATTTAATATAGACTGTCTGTATCGCTTAAACATGGTTTTGATTCAAGTATTTGTGAATGCAGAAAACTCTTGCCCACTATTGTCAAGTGTGCGACCCGAGTCGACCAACGAATTAATCATGGCAAAGTTCCGGATATCGTGGCTGGAAAAACAAAGTTATGGATTAATTGTAATTAATTTTTTTTTTCTTTTTTAAACATGATTTGTAATTATGAGCTCATTATTCCATGTTTCACAAAAGGCTTTACCTAAATAAATATTACTACAAAATAATTTCCCACAAAAGGCAGCATATGTAATTAAAGAGACATTGCATGTTCCGAAGAAATGGTAGGAATGTCTCTTAAATGAGATTTGTGGGCCTAATTATTTTGAAATTGGGCTAATTAATTTTTGACCAAAGATCTTGACAATTTATTCTGTATGTGCAGTTGATCTCGTGCTCAAAATCTTATTAATTCCTATAATATAACACTCACCTAAAAAATATTGAAATTTTGTGTAATCTCGTACATTATTTTTTTGACCTTTGTAGACTAAAATTCTCTATCTTTTTTTTTTT